GGTCTGAGTCAGATTTGTTAATGCTGGTCCTACAAAGACCTACGTACAGTAATGAGGATAAAAGGTTTAAAAGAAGATGCATTCCCAAAGTGGGCTGGATTCCCCAGTACAAAAGGAACCAGAACAAGAGGACTGACTGCATTTCTCTCTTTTTTCTTTTCTTTTTTTTTTTTTTTGTCCTATTTAGTTTGACCCTACACATAGCACAGAGTTTCCTGGCCTGGCTCGGTATAAATGACAACTTTATAAAGCTGAACTGCTTTTTTTTTTCTAACCTGGATTTTTTTTTTGGACACAAAAAGTTTAGTATTAGACATAATCACTTTTTGGCATGCTATATAAATATGTATTTTGTTAGATTGATTGGCTCTGTGCAAAGACCTAAAAGGAATAAAGTTCTACTATTCACCATTGTCAAAGCAATACCCCAGACTTCTAATCAAATCTGCTTCTGCAAAGGTAGAAAAAAAAAAAAAAAACCTGCTCTGCTTAACTTGGCTGCTCTGACCACGTGAAACTGAGATTTTCTATGCTGTGTAGGGACTTCACTGATACATTTTGTTTTCTAAATCATCAAGTCATTTTCTAGATGGCATAGCAGTTTCTCCCAAGGGGCATCATAAGGTACAGGGACCTGAGAGGATTAGGTCTCACTGTTGTTAAAGAGCACTACCATTTCAATGGGTATAGGCTGAAGATGCACAAACGCAGAAATTGAAGAACCACAGACTGCCCTAAATTGCATTTATGTCACATATCAACACTGAGGACCTTCACAGCAAATTTAAACATACTCAGGTTGACTACAACTGAGTTTAGGAAAAAATAATTACTGTTGCTATTCAATTACTTTGTACTTGATGGCAGAAACAAACCCATTCCACAGCCACTTTGATCCTGATGCATTTGGTCCTCATGTTTTGGGCTCTGGGCAGAAGGTTGGACTAGATGATCTCTACAGCTCCCTCCCAGCGCTTATTGCTCCATGACTGTGTGTGGGTCTGTTCTTTCCCTTGCCACCTGTAGGACATCATCATTTAATTAATAAATGAAAAGTCTGCCTCAAACTTCACATGCAAAGAGATCGGATTCACTGGAGACAGGGAAAATCATTTTCACACTACTATTTACCCGTCTTAGAGTATAACATTAGGTTAAAACTACTCATTGGCATAATTGCATTGACTCTAAATTTGTACGGAAATCTTTTTGTCCAAGATAGAAGCATTCTTAAGATCTCATGAGGACCGCATAAATCAATGCAAACAGCCCAGTGCATTTTAAGGAAAAGCAAGCATTGAGGAATGAAATTTTTTTCCAAAGTGATCGATGATTTGGATGCTTTCATTCACACATTTGAATAGAAACCTCCACAAGGCACTTTGGAAGGTCCTGGTCCCAGAGGACAGATACATGGTACTGGCTGAAAACCAGGACATGGCACACGCTGCTCTTCTCTGCTACCCCAAAGGAAGCTTTAAACGCACAGCAGAGGAGCTCACTCAGCCCTCACCCCTAAGCTGAAACGTGTCATCTCCGGGACCAAAACACACCATTGCAAAGATCGGTTCATTTATATAGATCTTGATTTGCTGGGAAATGAAACCAAACCCTACAGAGAGGTCCCAGCAGCAATGAACTGCAGGGCAGCTAGCTCAGATATTTATACCCAAAGAACTTGGAATTTTTTTATTCTGTTTTCGAATCCGGATGCAGGTTGTGCTGCTAAGCACAAAGGAAATACCTTACTCAATCAGTGGCTGGATCTCTTTGGAATTTCTCTTTTTGAAGATTGTGGGGAAAAAAATGCCCAATATGCCACGTTGCTTTGTTATTTCCTAGTTTTCCAAACGATGTTAAATGTTTCTAAATTAGATCATTAATTACCAAGCCACCAGACCAGCCTCACAGGTACTGCATAAGCAAGCTTTACCGGGCGTATCAATAGCAATGTCACCTACAGAGAGAGAAAACAGACTTTGCACATGACCCTGCTGACTAGCAGACTACTGTTTCCATCTCATATCCCCAGCTTCCATCAGCTGGAGACCTTCCTTTTTGTATTCGCTCCTGATGTGGGCCCTGTTCTTTATTTCTGATCAACATCATACATGTCATCACCCTTTTACAGATAAGGAGAGGTTGGGCAGCTGTACTAATTGCTGTAGTCGGACCACGCAGGGTCTAGTCTTATCCTTGTGCCTAAGACGGCATTTAAGGTCGAGAGCAATGCAGAGGAGCAGCAGCAGTGCCCGCGAGAGGCATTTGTACTAAGAGCTTGAGTTCCTGTCCCTGCAGCAGCTGTAAACACTACAGCAGACCTGCAGCAGGGATGTCTGGGAAGTCACTTGTGTCCCACGAGCGAGAATAAATGCCTGTGCTACCCTGGACAGTGCTGTAAGGGAAGGCACAGGTCTAGAGTTCCCGTCGTGGCATGTCAGGAGCCCGTATTCAGCAGCATGGGCGAGGAAGCGGCTGCGTTGCGAACAGCCCCTTTGGCCCTGGGTACCACTAAGAGCATAGCCAGTGCCTCAGGCACCTTCGGAAAGCGCTCATGTTTGCCTTCATGAGTCTTGCTGATGGACCTTTCCAGAAGCCAGATTGTGATGAGAAAAGAATATTTCTAAAAGGCCTCTAAGAGGTATGTCTCTGGAAAAGTCCCCTTGCCCTAAAGCCCCTCTTTATTCTAGAGGACACAGGAGCAGCAGGAGGATGTACAGGTAGGCATTAGTTCTGCTGGACATCTTTCCAAAACCGTCCAGCCTGGTGTTGCTGGCGCAGGATACGCTTTCCATAATACTGCTACCCCATAGCATAGAGGGCAAGGGGGTAAGAATAGTTTTGATTTAGAATCTCGGCCTAAATATTATTGTAATTTTTTCAGCAGGAAAAGTCTCTAGCAAATTGACCAAAATCACAGCTTATCTTCACTGCTAACCTGAGGAGCGGGGAGAGGGAGGGAAAGACGACCGATATTTCGCTGGTGCAGGGCACGTGCTGCTGGCTTGAACGTTTGCAGTGAAGCTGAAAACGTTCTTACAGGTCCTGGAACTCCTCTGCTATTGTGATCAGGAGGAGAAGGAAAGAAATTTGGGTGAACAACCGTGAAACTTAGCATGCAATGTTCAAGCCCCTTTCCAAAGGGGACACAGGAGCCAGAAGAGAAATTGAGCAAGACCTAAAAAACATACAAACCGAATTTGGTTAACTGAAGAGGTAGAGGAACAACAAGGTAGTCTCACTGTGAGGGTTTTATACCAACGTACAAAAAGAATTTGTATTTAGGTTTCCAGCCCCAAAGTAATTGTGGAAAGGAAGAGGGGAGTTGTTTTCACTACAAATATTTATTGAAATTTATTGTTGCTCTTCAAAACACAATTTTGACAGTATAGTCTCCAGGTGGAGAGGAGATCACGTCCTACAGGCACGATGGTGATGTAGGGAGAGAAAGCATCCTTGGTCACTGGTAAATGAGTGTCAGATCTGAGTACAATTGCTTAGGTGATTCTGACTGTCTCTTAGATGAGCGAGACTGGTAAGTCCTGCTATCTCTTTTATCATCATCTTCAATTCTGTTTCCCATGCAGCTTTGTTGGAGTGACTCGAGCTGGGCTGAATGTGGCTTCATTCAACTGGTTCCACCCTTGTTCTTTTGCATGTTGAGGGAGGAAAAAAAAATCCAGCCCCACAAGCATTTTTCTGTGCTAGGAATTCTATGACCTCTGTCGCTATGCAGTCAGGCACCCCATGCACGACTGAAAATGGCAATTTTTCATCTAGGAGGGACATGTTCCACCCCCGAGTGATCTGCAGGCTTTGTGAAAAAAATCAGTCACAATTCCCATAGTTGCTGCATGTGGACTATGGTCTCAGAAGCTGTGTCCTAGGCCAAATGCATAGCGGGCTAGCCCCGTGACCTCTCCGCACCATATCCAGACCACTGTACCAGCAGCAGGCCCGACCTTTGGAGGAGAAAGAGGGTTCCTTTTGCACCACACTTTTCAAAGAGCACGTTAGCCCTGATTGTCTTGGCTAACTCTCTGGAATTTCCTTCCTTGCCCTGGAGACAGAGCATTCTGTGGAAATGAAAATTAATACTTCTAGATGGCTTGAGTTTGGGTGTGTTTTCAATTATTATTTTATTTTTTGCAAAGGCGAGAATGAAAATTCAGTGGCTTCTACAAATAAACTCCTTTTAATTATAAACCTATTTAGCAGAAGGTGGAATTAACCACCTCAGAAAGAGCAGGGGGAGAGCCTTGAAGTCGCACACAAAACAGGGAGAGCACGAATCACACAGTTGGCACGAGATCCCATTTCATTTTTGCTCAGTGCAGGGGTTTTAAGCCACTGAATATCGCACTGTTCTTTTCCCCCTGTTCTCCAGAGGGAGAACAAATGCAAACGGTGTCGTGTTAGAAGGGGCTAAAAGGGCACCCTGTAATAATCCCATGCACGAAACCCCACAGATTCATCAATGAAGGAAGGTGTAAGAGCCATCAGGAAGCCTGCAATAGCCTCTGTGTACACATAACACCTCCGGAGGAATTTGCAGCAACTATTCAAGAACAGAGCCTGGTTTATTCACCCCGGCTTCACCCCATCGCTCACACACACATGCCTATGACACGCTCCGGGGAGCGAAACGGCGCTAAGTGCCCAACCAAAATAACCCCAGCCAGATGAAAAATAGGCTCCCTTGTTTCTCCCATCTGCGTGGGTGTTGGGGTTTGACAAGCTGGGGCTAACAGGCACAAGGAAGAATGTTCTTCCCACAATGTGTCCGTGTTCCAGGTTAGCAAGGGTAGGAATCAGCCTCGGATGGCAGCAGGTCACCTTATACTGCTTGTCTGCTCCCCACTGTGCAAACTCTTTTTCCTCCTAGAGCAGGGACAGGAAAGCCCAAGGAAGCCCCCATCATTC